AAATTGCCTCATTTGTTTCTTTATGCAACTGAAAATTCGTGAACTAAATTAAGCAAGTTTTTTTCTTTTTTTTGAAGATGAAAATGCTTGCTCCAGACCTGCTTCGAATGATTGCAAAAAATTTCACGCACGAGAAAGAAGTTGTTAAGTTGCAAGTAGTAAATTTGGCTGCAAAACTTTATTTGACGGACAAGGATAGTTGCGAATTGCTGGTTCATTATGTATTACAGTTGGCTAGGTATATATATTTATGATCTTGCCTTTGAAAAGATAAAAAATCTGTTTAATCACCTGTTTGCAAATAATGCTGCTTTTTGTATCAGTTTCTTTCTCCAGATATGATCAAAGTTATGATGTTAGAGATCGTTGCCGGTTTATTCGCAACCTCCTTTTTGGTAACAGCAAACTGTCTGCACATGCTTTAGATATATTTATGACTGCAAAACCTTCTCCAGTTATGCAGAGCTCTTTCAAAGGTGAAATCTTATATTCTAATTGCCATCTGGTTGTTTAAAGCGCATTGTATATATCATGCAAGGGTTTGCATCATTTCTTATGTTTTCCGGAAACTTCAGATCGGGAGCAGTTCCAGCTAGGAACATTATCACATTTTCTGAACCAGAGGTGTAATCGTTACAAAGACTTGCCAGCTTTTCCCGAAGTCGCACCTGATCCGTCCCTTAGAAGGAGTTCTTCAAAAACGTTAGACGTCATAACCGACGAACAACTTCTGCATGGTGACGTGAAACCAGATGAAGATTTTTATTTTGATGAGGAGGAAAATGATGAAAAAGAGGATACAGAAGAGGAAAGCGAAGCTGACGAAGATGAGGATGAGGTGTGTGTCTTCATTTAATTAAACTTTGAAATCATTAATGCATTGAAGAGAACTTCAGTTTAGTCTTGCATCGTAGTAGTTTGTAGGACGAGGATGAAAGCGAAAGTGGTGAAGAGGCAGATGAAAATGAAGAGGAGGAAGACGAGACCAAGTCTGATGAAGAGCAGCCAAAGGCAATCGTTCAGGAAAATAGTACGGGAGCGTGTGGAGGAGGAGAAACGGGTCTTCTGTCAGGGTAGTCCATTATTTTCATTGTTGTATAAGTTAGTTTTGGTTTTCAAGAAGAATAGTTTAATTTATCTACGGGAAGTGTGCAGTCGAATCACTGCAATAATTTTTTGTAAAACTTGAAAACTGGGTCTTTTTGCTACCATTTGTAAATTGCAGTTCAGCAAATTTGGACTTATTACTGGATTTGAACTTTGAAACTATTCCTTCCGCTGCCTCAGCATATACCACGACGTCTGCTAAGTATGTCGACGAAGATTACAAGTTGTTGCTCAGTCATGCAACGTGGACACTTGGCGTTGCTGTAGAATTCCGTTTCTTACGTGAACCCTCTACACTTTCATCGTCGATGACGACTGTTATGCTGCGATTTACTAATCTCTCCGAAGTTTCTTCCCCAGAAATATCTGTGGAACCTAAAGTATCTGCTTTTATCTGCTGTAATAGATATTGAAGGGGAAGTTCTAAATTCTCATGTTCCATTCATTAAGTGTATCAATTTCAGGAGATGAGTGGTGTTGGAACGAGTAAGAAGTTTTCAGTTAGCGTTTTATCACCCAAACAGTCTTGCTTGGAGCGAATACATATTGATTTTGGAGATAGCAAAAAAGTCTCGGAGTGGTCGCTGGAATCTTGCAATGATAATAAGTTGAGAAATTCGTTTAAATTAGAGGCACCGATGGGAGAGCAGTTAGAACCAATATTGCTATCCGAGGCAAAATTTGTGAATTTAGCTGCTGGTTTGAGTGGTATGAGTGAATATAGCGCGAAGTTGGGGAGGAGGTTGGAGGCAAATGATTTGTATCAAGTCGCCAATTGTGCACCGGTAGAGCGATCTCAGGTAAGGATTCTTGTCATGAACCTTTTAACGAGAGGAAGAAGGGAAACCGTTCTTTGTTTTTTCTTTTTTTTTCAGGTTTATTTTTGCGCTCAAACGCGCTCGAAGAAGCAAGTAGTCTTGATCATACTTCACGAGAAACAGGTTACTGTGCACAGTGAAAATATCGTACTGGGCTCCATACTCTGTACCGATATATCAAGCTTTTCCGATTAGAAGCTAACAACTTCCAGAAGGACTGTCCTTATTCTACGGTTTAATTATTTCAATTTATTGGACTGTCGACACACAGTGAAACTTGTGAGGGCGTCTAATCCAGCGTTTTATATAATATGCAGTGCTACTCACTAGTTTCGCAGCTTATCAGCAGCATGTGATATGTGGAGGGAGTGCTGCACTTATGCTTCTTTCACGAGCTGAGGATTGTCATAATTAGAGGCACTAGGAGACGGGGCGTAGATAGGGGGAGTACAGTATGTGGAGATGTTGTACGGTGGTTTTTTCGTTTTCTTGTCCAGCACTGTCTACACGAAAATTTAACTTGGTCACTGGAAGACCTGCTCTGGTACTTTGCTTTCTGGGCCTCATTACCTAAACTTTATATTGGATTTACATGACATGTGCCCACAAGGCAAAGACAGCAAATTAGCATCTAAAGCAATTGGGAAACAGTAAAGTAGTCAAGAAGAAAACCGGAACAATGTTTTTTGAATCAGTAACATTATTAATATACATTCATAATAAAAGCGTCTCTTTGCGGCAAATATGCACACGCATTTCAAGAACAACAAACACTGGAGAGATCAGTTGGTTAGATGGGCCGACAGTGGCCCTTAGTACTTACTCACAAACCATATTACAAACATCAGAGACTAACAAGAAGTTGAAAGAATTTCATACTGGGTTAAAAAGAGAAACGGGCAAATGTGAACAAGAAACCTAGCAAAGTAAAACGTCCTGGAACTGATACGGATCCAGTAACTTCTCTGTACTGTTAAAAGCAGCTTATTACAGCACATAACAATTCACAATTACAACAATACACAATACCAGCATCATATATGCAGTGTGACTTTTGGACTACATTTGCGGGAACTTATGCAGGGCTTACTAGAAAACGATGCTGACAAATTCCTCGAAACAGAGGGAGTGAAGTGAAGATCCTTAACATATTTACCCTGGAAAGCGAAGAAAATGAGTGATAGAGAAACGAAACAGTCACTCGACGGACGCAAAAACGAACATCCCTCTGTCTCAAATAACCAGACAAAGAGCAATAAAATGGAGATCAGAAGGTCTTAGGCTATAACAGCTTGTCATTCAACACCCGCATTAACAGTGGTACTTTAAAAATCAACTTCACAAACGATGAGCATTTAGAAGAGCTGAAAACTTAATATGGACGGGGTAATGCTTAATTGATATTTACCAATATTTTGATACGAAAAATGTTTACCTACTAGCTTAAAGCATGCCGGACAGTAACTCCACAAAAGCTAGACTTTGTAGAGAAGTCCTTGAGATTTTTACCGGTAATCGACTATCACGCTCAGCTCAACTCACATGAAGCACCAGAGATGCTTATTAGTGTGTTAGGAATACACAAATGAAATATGCAAATATACAAAAACCTAAAGGAGGCTGCTTATCAGAAAAATCGTCATTCCAAACTAACTTAAAGCGGATAAAAATGACCATTAAATAATCCTCAGCTTTGGTTTGACGACAGTTTTTCAACGACGGCATTCAGTCGCCCCTTACTGCCACTAACTTTCTTTATTGAAGGTTTGGGAATAGAAGTGTTCGTTGTGGACGGTGATGGTAAGAGGGAAGCTGGAGCAGAAACAGCAGCCTGGAGGAGCAACGACGGGTCTAGCGCCAACAAGGACTGCATTTGCTGTAATTGTAGGGCGCTAGTGGTCGAATTCATCAAGGTAGCAAGCATCGGATTCAATATCTCCTTTGAAGAGTTCTGAAATTCATATGAATGCAGGAAAAAATTAAGGATGACAAAGGATAAAAACAAGTGCGGACCGCGGGGAAAACAGGTTTCAGGAATAAAGAAGCATAAGAAATTGCTACAGAATGAAGTTCATAAAACGCAAAGTGTAAAAAAGGGGATACGATAAACGTGCGGCTTTCAAGCGGCCGTGATTCAGTTTCATAAACTTCACACTATAAATTGAAGTTAACTTAAAATACCTTATTAGAACCCGTTGCACCGGTTGCTGCAGCAGACAACATGAACGGATTAAGCGTAGGAAACGCTCCCAAACCCAAAAGACTTTGACTGACTAAAGACTGTTGCAGCATCATCTGCATCTGCATTGCTTCTAAACTACTGGATGCTACGTCACCTCCAAGCCGGTCGGCATACGATTTCGACAGTATAGTCTAAAAACCAATGTATGCTGTTAAGTTCTGCAAAAATTATTACTACGCTGATTAGAAAAACAAAGTTATGAACTCCATGTTCGAGTTATTAGAGAAGCTTATGCAAAAACCATTTAGCGTTAGCATGATAGTTCCCAAACGTAGAAATGAGATTTGGCTTACAGCAGCTAGTTGCATACTAGACGAATGGACGTTATACTCCGGATGTTTGTCAAGCCAAGCTGCTAAGGATTTAAGTGGTGGCCACTTATCCGCAGGCAGCAAATTATTATTACTTCGCTTAAAAACGGCAATAGGCTGTTCTGCAATAATCGCTGATGTGGAACACGAAGGCCTTGGTATTTCACCCGGCTCTAATACGTTCGACGTAGATGAAGCAGTTTTCTTATTCGAGACAGGAGTTTTAACAACTTCCTGAGAAAAAAAGAACGAGCATGAAGCGAGAACAAGCAGCGAGAGAAAAAGAAAATAACAGAAGCCAAGTATACTAACTTACATTACTACTATTTTCAAAAGGAGCAAGTTTCTTCGAAGAAGTTTGAAGTTTCTCCTCTTTCACAGACTCTATAGAACTTGCACCAGTTGACGCAGCATCCTTCGTTGCAGACGTTAAAATAGGATTTTTTTCTGGCTTCTTTACTTCTAGAGTTGTTTTTGAACTAACTGCTTTTTCCATCGTGGGCTTTGTAGAAGGAATTACGTTGCTGGTAGATGCTGCTGAAATATCCATGACGAACTTTGGATTCGCTGACAACCACTGACCTAAATTCCCCACTTTTGGTGCCTGTTCACCGGTCAAACGCTGTCCAGTCTCAGTATTAATAACAGGAACACGAGTATCTATAAAACTTACAGTTAAAAAAGAGGAACTAGAGTTGCAAAACAGTAAACAAATTTAAATGAGAACAAACCAGGTGGCAAACTGGCTAATGCCAACACTTCAGAGAGGTTAAGATTATTTAAAACTGCAGCTTGGTCTGTATTCACCGGATTTAATAAAGCTTGTGCAGCTGCAGGCTTATCGGTATTTCTCTTTTTGCTAAGGTTAAGTACGTCATTGTTTGCATTGTCAATTTCATTTGAAGAATTTCGATTAGGGGTTTGCTGGGAAATCCGGGCACTCAAAGATGCTGAACTCGTCGCGGGTAAAGCAAACAGAGAAAGCATAGCTGCTTGTTGAGCTGGAGTTGCACTAGAGAGAAGAGGTAAGAACAATCCTTGTGCCATTGCAGCTGTAGCAGCCGAGAGAGGGAACTGTTCAAGCTAAAATAGTAATATTCATGGGTAAAGCGAAGCTGTAAAATATCGCTGCTTAAACATGCATTATGCGCCATTTTATTCAATGCAGAAAAGATATGTCAATAACAATCACCCTCTGCAGAAACGACTGATGAGCGAGGGCCCGCATTTTTTCTTTCTCCACGTCCCCTATCTCGTGTAAAGAGTTCACAACAGAACTACCCTTTTTACGCCCCCTTCTCGAACGAGATTGCATAACAGAGTTAGATTCTGCTTCTGCAACATCTATACGCAAAATAAATTTGGCAGAAATAATGAAGCATTACGACAATGCTAAAAGCAAGACGTCTAAACTCCGAATATGAATGTCTAACCAGAATCTTCAAGCATTTCAATTGAAGCCGTCCCATTCCATTTATTTGTATGTAAAGTTGTGTATATTTCAGCCACTCTTCTCAAGAGAGTCTTTTCATCCGGATGAGCAACCTGAAGCAAAATAACAATGAAAGTCTGTTCTCAAACACTTAACAACAGAAAAAAGTTACAAAAGAGGAAATAAAAACGAAAACAAAAAATCCAAAATCTATAAAAATTCCCATGTAACGAACATTTTGGAAAGCTGGTCTCTGATTAATATTGCTCGACAGGTTGTCAAGGCCGAACTGGTCCACAACAACAAGAAGGTCTTCATCTTGCTCAACCGACCAACCACTTGGCATAGCCTCAACTGAACACAATTTTAATACAGATCTTTTTTCTGCTATAGATTCACACCAGTTATGAATTTGCCGCATCATGTTCATACGATGGACAAGTTTCTGAGCTTGCCGAGCGGAGATTGGTTCCACCTAAAACCGAGGACCAGAGGTGGTAAAGAAATAGGACATAAAAATTGACAAAGTTAAAATTTTTCTACTTTCATAGCTCGCTGTAATTCAGCTGCCGATATTGGGTTGTCTAATTGTTTTGTGCACATCGAAAAAACGCAACAAAGATGTTCCATAAGTTCACTATCGGTCCGCTTTTCAATAGCTGGACAAAGCTGTCTGAATCGAGTCCACGATATCCTCGAGGAAGGATCGTCTTTAACTCCATAGCTTTTCAAAACGCGCATAAACTCAGTTTCTTCCCGATGGGTCCAGCTAAATGAGAGGGAAAGTAGACAGCTCACCGATATCATTAGCTAGATAACAAGGAATCAAAAATTACGCAGCGGTAACAACTGGAGTTGTCCGTTTCCTTTGGAAATATGTTAACAATTTACGAAAACGACTCAGCATCTCTGCACAGGATGGAAATGGATTCAGTTCTTTTTCTAAGAAGCAAAGAGCCTCGTCATTATGCCATGCTTCAATGTTTTCCAAGCCTAAAAACAGAAAGAATTTTCAAAAAATCAGAACTTCCAATAATTGGTTCTGTCAATATCTGGAGGAAAAATATAAGAGAAGAGTATGCAAACCATGTTTATAAGCTCCAATTAGAAGGCATTTGTCGCAATTTGAGTCCCAGCCAGGAACCAACGGTTCAGGCATCTCAACTACTAAATTAATTTCTTTCGCGTTCTTACCTTCCATTATTGCCTCCCCACGGTTACCAATAACCTGAATTAGTCCAAATGCAGCAGGAGAACAAATATAAAACACAATAAATGATTTATTGCAAAAAAATCGTCTAACGAACCTCAGAGTTTAAAATGTTCAACTGATGCATTCGAACTAACAGCTTATTCGAATGTCGATGAACATGACGTTGGAAAGACGAGTCAACTGCAAAAGCAGGAGGATTGTATTCCGGCAATGCTGCCCAACCTTCATGAAACACTGAGGTTAAGCCTGTCGGTTTTTTCTGGGTTGGACTCTTTGCTGGTGACGGAGCTTGGGTACCCTTAGGAGATATTAACTTCCATATAAACTCTCGTATTTTTTCATCACCTCTATACTCACGAATACAGTGGAGAAGCAAGGTTCTAAACAAGAAGTTAAGTCTAAACAACGAATATGACAAAAATGATGATGGACTTCCAAATTAAATGAAGCTACCTCGAAATATGCTCAACATCGGCTTCTGTGATTTCTTCCTTAAAGTCGCATGCATCGCGCATTACCTTCCAGCGACCCCAACCGTACTGGCCCAAAAGTTTTTCAACCTGAAAGGAAAATCAATAGAATGGCTCATTTTCAGACGGACAAAGTAACTTTCTACAAAAAAAGTCAGCGTAATAGGTATGGAGAAGATTAAAACACTAAGTTCTTATGCCTGAAAACTAATCCCGTTGCTAGGAGGGTCTGAACAACCAAGCCTATAAAACTAAACCTTAAAATATTCGCTTTTATTGAACGCCAACTCATCAGGTCGGTATTCTTCGTCCTCCCTACGTCTTTTGCGATCGCTTTTTCTGTCACCTTTTTTCCGGCCTTTAACACTTTCATCACTTTCATCTCCATCACTGTCTTCACCAGCTTCAGCTTTGTAAACATTGTCTTCGAATCTGAACATCCAATCATAAATAGCTATTTACAAAAGTAATAAAACTTAAGCGGGAAATTACTTGCCTTTTTTTCCTATTCCTCGGTTCAAGCAGTATAAGTTCTTTGTCTGTCTGATTCATCTCTGTGTCTATATTAGCTTTTTTCGCCCACTTGGACCAGAAATTAGGGTCATCGATATCGATATCCTCTCGATTCGTCGAGGAATTGAAAGATGCTTTCGCAAACGTTGATCCTTTTATACCAGCCTAAAAATAAAAACACGAATGAATGAAATGTAATATCGGCGCCACATCCGGAGCGAGGGAGAACCGAACATGAAAAAGAAGCAAAGCATGAAACACCCAATACTTGAGAAGAAAAACGAGCTGTAAAGATAGGCGACAAGTGCAAGAAAGTCTGTTTACTTCTAAAGTGATGGTCGTAGTTCGCCTCAGTAAGATTGTATCAATATCCTCTTCATTGAACTTGCTTTCCTCGTTATTTTCTTCCATTATCGCTCCATAAGCTCCTTTCTTGAGCAATTCCTCAATTTCCTTTCTTGAAAGCTGTTGCTAAAAACAGGAGGCGATAATTAAAGAATATCTTAAAAATATATTTAAGAAAGTGAAATAAAAAAAGACAATTATAAGGAAAAAACAAATAAAATACCGATGTATCTTTCAGAGCTGTAGTTGACTGTAGTACTGCCTTATCAAGACCCAATTTCAGCGAAGCCTTATCAAACATTTCCCGTTCGTAAGTGTTGCAGGTAATCAGGCGATACACTTTTACCATCTTTGTTTGCCCTATTCGATGGCAGCGAGCTTGAGCCTGTTGTTGGACCAAATTACAAAAGCAATCCCGCGTCAACAGCATGCAGCTAAGTAATTAAGCAAGTGTGGAACGAAAGTAAATGTATAAAAAAACAAAAATTTACCTGTAAATCATTTTGTGGATTCCAGTCAGAATCAAAAATAATAACAGTATCAGCAGCAGTTAGATTGATTCCGAGACCACCAGCGCGAGTACAAAGTAAAAAGACAAAGCGATCAGAGTCTAAGGCATAAAATTACATTAAAGAACCACGATTTTTATGTTCCGAAAGAGAAATCGAAAAAATAAAGACAAAAAATCAGAACTTTCTCTACGAAGGTACTAAGAACCTTTTCTGCTGAAACGATCAATTGCTGTTTGACGTAGATCGCCTCTTACATTCCCATCAATACGCTCAAACGTATAACTGAAATATATATCGGCAAAATAATCCCGAAAGTTAAAAACAATTGAAACTGTGAAATAACCCTCGTCAATGATGTGAAAAGCAAACCTCTGTGCAACAAGAAATTCTTCGATGATGTCAAGCACTCGGACCATCTGAGAAAAAATGAGGACCTTATGACCGTCCGCTTTCAGTTTGGGCAACAACTTTGAAATAAGCACAAGCTTCCCAGAAGATTGCACTAATGCATTTTGATAAAGTTCTTCCTCACTCCAGTCTGGATGAATAGATTTCATTTCTGAGATGATTTGCTCCTCAGCACCTGGAATTATACATTCCAACTAAAAGATATAAATGTACATCAAAATGTATTGTCATACATCTGTCGTAGAAAAAAATTGAAGCCTAAGCCAAAAAAATACCATTAATTAAAAATGGATGATTGCAGCATTTCCGCAACTCCATCATAGCGTTCATTAATGACGGTACAGACGTGCCTTTACACAAATGAGAAAAATTCCTCTCTAGAATGGCCCTATAGTACTTTTTCTGCGTATTCGACAAGCAGATCTAAACCACGTTAAATCTTTATTTACAAAACTTCCACAAACCTATACTTAAAAAAAAAAGAAAACAAAGCGTAGGTGCACTTTAAAATTTATAATTACCTCTATTATAGTTTCTTCTTTCGGCTGCAATGACTTTTCAACATCTTCCTTCAACCGTCGCAGCATCATCGGTTTCAATATTCCTTGAAGACGCTGAACTTGTTCTTCTGTTTGACACTGCCCGAACTGTTCTAGGAACGCAGCAGAACTGTGAAACTGTTCAGGTTCCAAGAAGTTTAAAAGAGAAAAAAGCTCTTCAATATTATTCTGCAGTGGAGTTCCAGTCAACAATAAGCGATGCTCCAAAATGAATGATAACAACCCTTAAAAAAATACTGCACGATTTCTCATAGCCTTTGTAGATGAAAAAATGAAAAAGAACGGTCTGATTAAAGGGAACTACAATGATGATTAGATGTGTTAAAGTTCACTATTAGCCTTAAAAAACTATATATGAACTTTTTTACCTCCTGTCAACAATTTGCAGTGGCGATTCTTCAAGCGGTGCGCCTCATCAATCACACAAACTTGATAATTGAATTTTTTCAAAACTTCACAGTCACTGACAACCATCTCAAACGTTGTGATTAAAGCATCAAACTTGACAACATTCTTCTTAACAAGCTGCAAATAAAAAATGAAAATAAACTGTCACCTTCAAGCAGAAATTGTAAAAAAACGCAACCCATTGATTCGAAAAGACTGAAGCTGAAGAAAATCAAACTGTTATGAAGATTCCAGTACTTTTTGGTCGCTAGATTCATAATAAAATTCTGTCTGTTGTATCAATTGCCGACTAGTAGCACTTCCGTGGTAAACAACAGCGTTCATATCGGTCCAAATCTCGAATTCCCTTTGCCAGTTATGTATAGTTGAAAGAGGAACCACTATCAAAAATGGACCGTGTATACCATAGTCATAAACTTTTTGAAGGAAACATATCGTTTGCACAGTTTTGCCCAGCCCCATTTCATCAGCGAGAATGCAATTCTGCCTGAAACTTCGAAAAATCAGCAGCAAAATCTGACTTGAAGCCAGTTAGCGACTGATAAGTGGAAAACTAAACAGTAAAATTACAGAAACTTTCTCAGTAAAAGAAAATTGAAAAAGGTGTAAGTCTAACAAGTCAACCTATTATAATAGCAGTAAAGCAGCCAATTGACTCCTTCAAACTGGTACTCTCTCAACAAATTTTCATCTTTAAAAGTTGTGTCATCAGGAATTTTAGACCAATCTGAAGCTGTAGGTCGAGGTTTCGGTTTCTAAAAATATAATTAATTTCATAAAACAAAGTTTTTATCGCAATAATACAAACAAAAAAAAAAAATTAAATTACCAATTTCACAGGATCCACAGCGTTTCTAGCACGCCAACTGTCAATTTTTTCTTTTGCAATAATATCAGACTTCTCCCAAGTAGCTTCCTCGTACGGGAGGGACCGCCACTTTACATACGCAAAACTGCCATCCTCAGTGTCCGTGAGGTCCAAAACTCTTTCAACAATTACAAAATCACTATTGAACTGTTCTTCTTCATCCTCAAAAAAACAAAACAAAGTGAACTTTTATTAACTGTGCAGGTTTATGAAATTAGTAGTAGAAAACATGAAAAGTTTCAAGGAAACCTGGTCAGGGTTATGAGACCATTTCTGCAAAAACCTTTTGATTTTTGCTGCAATTCTTTTATCGCCCTCCTCCAATTCTGCCTGGGTTTTCCAAGTGCAATGAATATAGGCCCTAAAACAACAAGACTACCAGTCCTAGCTAAAAACTGAGACTGTTGTCTTTTAAAAACCATCTATAAACAAAGAACATGAACCTAAAACTTACTTATTTCTATATTTAACAAAATACGTGTCCGGATTTTCACCATTTTTTTTGAGAGATATAATTTTTTCTACAACGAATTCACTCGGTTCTTCCTAAAAAAAAAAAAAAAAAAAAAAAAAAAAAAAAA